CTTTGGTCATTTTGGGTGACTAGTCATTTTTTATGACTAATTCACTTTAACAGTGTCACTTAAAATTCTACTATCCTTTAAATTAACGTTTTTGTGATTACAGTCGAATGCCTACTTACAACAACAGAATATGATCTGAAAAGTTAAACACCCACACTGGAACGTTAAATCTTAGCTTTTTCTGAATGTTGTTTTGGCAAATTTCACTGTGGGAGGTGAGATGATTTAAAGCTTGATATTTTCTATTATAGTCAAAGGCATAATTTCTCTGACATCGTTTTCCATTTGGAATAAGGAAGTACCCTAGAACAATGTTTTAAAATAAAATTTGTCCACATAATGACAGTTTTTCTCAGTTCTACCCAAACTAAAATAGCTCAGAAGCATTTATTTACTTATCATAACCACTAAGAAATTATAGTCATTACACCTACCATCACTTCTATATCATTCTAGAAAAAAAATACATCATTTTTTTTTTCTTCAGAAGATCTCCTGCTTTCCTGTCTTTATACTTCATCGTTAATGGAACCTTTGGACAGCTGAGAAAAGTGCAGAACATCCCAATTCAGCCTCTGCCCCCGCCTCCCCAAGAGTTTCCTTTCTTGTCAACATAGTAAAGAAGAGGATCATGTTTATTACTTATAAGTGAGCTACAATATAGACTGTGCCATTACAGAGCTGGTTGGTGGAAGAACAGGAAAAGATACAAGTATTAGGACTTGGTTTAAGTTAACTTATTATGAGAGTTAGTGGTAAATCGAAACCTAAAATCATGAGTTTGTTCATCAGCCATTACGTGGTCAATTAATATTCAAATTTGAATTGAAAATACAATAAAAATAACAATGTATACATTTAAAACTTGACATCTAGAGTAGTATAGAATACTATCTACTAAAATAGTACTGCAAAATCATTTGTACCTATTGTGAAACAGAGCTTGAGAGAATTTGTTTTTAAGTAAGAGTAGCTATCAATAGGAGAATTCAGATAGAATAGCATTTATATTCTTTCATGAACTTCTTATTCCTCTTCTAAGAAATTTGTCGAGCACATATTATGGATTATGCATGGTTCTTGATACTTAGAGGTTGCACACTCTCCTCAGCCCAACTTGTCACCCAGCAGGAATGGCAGAACAGTGTTACCCAATCTTCTGATTACCCAAGAGAAATATGTGTGTAAAATCTGCCAGTCTTTCAATGTTGGCATTCAATTCAAAATTATTTTGGACATTGTAAAGGCCACATCAAACAGGGGTCCATGTAGGGGTCACAGAGTGCTGGTCTGCGGCCTGTGTGAACCAAACTGTTGCTCCTGCCTGGGAAAGTTGCACAGTGAACAGCATGGACACCTCAGCATGGTCTGTTGTATGTCCCCTCTTCCATAACTAACTGCTCTCAAGAAGATTTCAGACTAAGAAGAGTACAAAGACAGAGTCCAGGGTGGGGGAGCAGCCCTGGAGGAGATGGACCCAAAAGCTGTAGCAGGAGGATCAAGATATTTGTGTTCAGCATCAAGAACCTACTGTGTGCAGCATACTCTGCTGAGTGCCTGGCATTCTCATTTGGAAAGGGAAGATTCTGGTGTTGTAGGGCTGAAAGTTGACTAAGGGAAAGGTAAATGAACAAAAATTATGAAAGTTCCGGGAAGCATGCAGATGGATTGTACAGGTGTTGAAATCTTCATTCATCACACATTTCCTGAGGACATAAATATATCTAGAATTTTGAAGATACCACAATAAACAGAACAAACATGCTCTCTATCCTCAAGGATTTTGTACTCTAGCAAGCGAGCTGGCAGTTTTAAAATGGTACAAATGTGTGCTTACTTACAATTATAATAAATGCTGTAAAGGAACAAAGGAGAATATGACAGCATAATAGAGACACCTAACTTGGGGTGAAACAAAGTATTTCCCTGAAAAGTTACATCTAAGCTGAGATCTGAAGAATAATGAGTGTTGGGAATATTAGCCAGACCCATAAGGCAGTAAGAGTGTTCCAGGAGGGGGAGAAGAATCAGAGCAGGCTCCGAGGCAGCTCTTGAGAAACCAGAAGGATTGGAAGGATGGGGTATCTAGGAGGGAAGAGCAAAGCCAGAAGAGTAAGCCAAGGAAAGATTGCACAGTCCTAGAGACCCTCTTGAAGTCTCAGACTCCATCCTGAGACCTCATGGTCACCAGGGATGGGTGACAATGACACCGTGGCGGCAGTGCGCCCTGCAGTGGAGAGGCACTGTGAGTAAGCAGAGGGGCTATGCTGGCAATGACCCAGCAAAAGCTATGGAAGTTTTGGCTTATGGCGTTGATAGTTGGTTTTGATAGTATATTGGATTGGGAAAGACGGGTGTTGAAGATTTAGAATTCTGCCCACAGTCCAGTTGCCAAGATGGGGACCCCCAAAGAGGAAACAGATATGGGGATGGGCGGAGGTTTCCGTTTAGGAAGAGTAGTGTTTCAGATATGAAGTAGGCAAGAAGGATCAGTGGGTCTGGCTTTCAGAACAGGGGACTGCATGAGCATTCATATGACACAAAGGCCATGGGAGTGATGAGCACACCCAGAATGAGTGCCCAGTGAGCAGAAGCCTAGAACCATCCTCAGTGTGTCTATGGCTCACTTCCCTCTCCCAACTCAAGTGCAGGGTAAGGGTGTCACTGACCAGTGTTCTCAAACTGTCTGACAGACACCTGAGCAAGGTTTCCAAGCCATTGCATTTTATTTTTCAATACAGAACAAAACCAAAGATATTCCCAGTCACCATTATTTTCTGCAACAGCATCTACAATTGGGGCTCATAATCCTTAAACTTCATCACAACAGTGACATGTCAGCACACTATTTCTACCAACTAAACTAGATGCCTTGTCCTCCTCCAGTACAATCAAGTTCCCCTCCTGCATTGATACTTCACAACATACCCCTAAATAGACTGGGTGGTCATTTTAACCCATGTGCATTTATTTCTTGGATAAATTTTTAAACCAATGTCTCTTCCCCAACTTTTTGCCTCCTTATAACTAGAAAATTGACTTGATCAATAACTGAGGAGGTTTTCCATCTCTCTGGATGTAACACTCAGTTAACCTTTTTTTTATGGCTCCCACATATCACAACCAGACCAGGGGAGCTATGAAGCTTGGAATTGGGTGAAAAACAGGAAAGGAGAACTAGGGAGACCCATCCTGATCCTGGGTGGCAGCAAAACATGAACTTCAGACTCTGACACTCCAGGGTTTGAATCTTCCAGGTTCAACACACTCAATAACTAACTATCCTCCTTCCCTTCTTTCCTGGTGATTGAATGATTAACAGAGACACTGCTGGTCTCAGAGATTTAACAGGAATAAGTAAATACAAATTATTGTTTAATGACTTCATCAAATGGATATTACATTGCCCAGAAATGGTTATAACATATTTTATAATAAACTTTTGTCAGTTGATCAATATAAACACTTTTTTTACAAAACATAAATTGATATCATAAATCTTTTGCTTTGTTAGTCCTCAGACACAATGTAAAATACCTCAGGTAGGTCCAACAGAACCTAAAATACCACAAAGCACAGCATAATCTGGAGAGCACAAACTGTGCATGATGTCACAAAATAGCAGGCAGGGTTGATCAGAAAAGGTATGGCAGTTGGAAGTTCTCTGCTTCCAAAGCAAACCGTAACTGGAATCCTTGATAAATTTCCCTGAAAAGACTGATATTCCTAGTTCAATCCCATTTCTGTCACTAGGTCAGGATAAACTGAGTCACTGACCACATGGCCCAGTCATCTTTAATGTGATGCAGCAAGCTTTAAAACTTACATTTAAAGAACCAACAGAGAAATGGAAAAAAATTGAAGGAAAATGTGTTATATTTTGTTTTTATTTGGAATCACAAAAGAAAAACTTTTTAAATAAACCCTTAAATTCTTCACCATTAATGTGATTTAAATAATTTATAAATATTGAATTGATTTATTTACATATATTTGACTATAAAAATTACATTCCTTTTTTGTGTTTACATCATCAAACCCAATCAAGCCAAACAAGATGGTTAACTAAAATGATTAATGAGTGCTGCATTAGGTGATGGCTTTAAATTTAGAATGTATTACTGATGTCAGGGTTGATTAGTTCTCTATCTAAAACTGATGCTATTAAAAGCTTTGAGCAATTTAAATGTAGTCATTGAGTAAAATTCCAATGGAGTGAGAGAAATTCCATCAGGATTGAGTTTGCTATGGTGAATGTACTTGTGTGCAAAAGTTAGAGAGAGAACCTTTACTGACAGGGTGGGAAGAATATGAGGCAGGGGAGCTGATTAGATGGCATCAATCATGGTGAAGATAAAGAAGCTTAGAATAAGAGAAAAACTCTTCTTTGCACATGGAATCCCAAATGGCATAGGGTATGAATCTTAATCATTTCAGCTTCAGAACTTTTCACAAAGCAAGAGAAAATAAATGAAGGGGAGGAAAGGGGTTAATACAGCACCAGGCCTTAGTAACTCCTCTAAAAATGAACCCACAGGGAAATCATGGTAGTCAGTGGTGGAGATCAACATTTTTATTAATAAGAAAAGGAAACTGTGGGCAGAGCAACAGTGATGTAAGTGCTAACAATTACTGGGTGGAACAATTATGTGTCATGGGTGTTTCAGAACCTAGAAAGCAAAGTGGAGGGATTATGCCCATTGTATTGCAAGGTGAGAGTCTAACTCACTGAAGAACTGTCCTGGAACTACTGCACAGGACTCAGAGAAATGAAGGTGAAGACAGCTGGGACTTTGGAAAGGTGAGTGATTTAAATCACATGTTAAACCATTTCCATTGTCTCCTAAATATTGTATTCTTGGTTCAAAGGTCCCAAGGCATTTCAAATGAAAGGGGAAACATAATTGATTGAATCAACATTTCTTTGGATGTTCAGATGTCATCTCTGCTAAGGGGTGTGAGAGGGGATCTGTCAGTGGGTCAGGTAGTACTGGAAGTTTCTACTGTCCTGAATGTAGCTTAGCAATCTCCAGGAAAAAGGCAGCAAATAACTTGGACTCCTCTATGTAGTTCCACCTAACAAAAGAAAAAACAAAGAGAAACTTTGTTATAATGACCAAACAAAGGAAGAAAAGTATTGTACCATTTAGACAGGAAGATTGATATTTTAAATTCAATCTAAAGTGTTGGATACTATACTGAGATCGCAGAATGAAAGGCACTTGATGATTCCTGTGTCGAAATGGCATTATTATTAAGAAGATGGGAATCTGTCCTGGGCCCAAATCCAAAAAAAAAAAAAAAAGTTCATTTTCCTTGGTTTTTTATTATTGACACGACATGGATATCAGAACCACACATGCTCTTGTTTCTTACTAGTACAGGAGACTTAGGAGGTTTGTGTCAAACATGCCTAAATATTCTTTGTTATGGACTGAATGTCATGACCCCAAAAATTCTCTTGTTGAAGCCCTAACCCCTAATGTGACTGTATTTGGAAGTGGGACCTTAGAGCAAATGATAAAGGTCATTGCAGTCAGCAGGGTGAAACTTAATCCCCAGGGCTGGTGCCCTTGGAGGGAGGAAGAGACCTGAGCTCACTGGCTCCTTGGCACTCTCTCTCCTCTGCCCCTCTATTGCAACAGGTGAGGACACAGGAAGAAAGCAGTGGTCTGAGAGCCAAGAAGAGAGCCCTAACCAGGAACCCAATCAACCAGCACCTTCACCCAGTACTTCCTTGCGTCCAGGACTGAGAAAACGAATGTCTGATGCTTAAGCCACCCCATATGGGGTTCCCATTGTCACATAAGGAGAAGGGGCCTGACCACATGCACCCCTGGGCTTGTGCAGCAGGACCCAGTCCACACAGGGACCTGCTGACCTGTTGATCTTCTCATTCTGAGAGCGTTCCCCATCATCGACAGCCCCCAGTGGAAGCATCATCACGCTCTTTTGAATGAGGTCCTGGATCATTTTGGCTATTGGAATGGTTGACCCATCCCGCATCATATCTGGTTCTGTTCCAAACACTGAAACACAAGAAAGAGAAGGCAGTGGAATATATAACAGGACTGACCTTACTAACCTCAAATGGGATATTTGCTTTATCTTTCTTTTTCTTTTTTTTCCTTTCTCATTTTTAACATTAGATTTGGGCCAGGGTAAGTAAGCTCCTTGATATCAGCTACTTGTGTTCTAAAATGAACGAAGCAGTCAAGAAGAAACCTGTGGATTCCTTCTTTACAATTACATACTCAAAAAATTTTTGTTTGAACTAATTTTTAAAAAGTTCAGAATTTAGAAAATTATAAAAATAGTACAGAAAGCAGTCCCATATATCCCTAACTCTGCTTTTCGGGCATGTTAATACACACAACTGTTGTGCAATGATCAAGACCCGGAAACTGTCATTGTCCTGAACCATGCTCCAAACTTCACAGATCCCACCGTCTTTCCTCCCAGCACCCAGTGCAGAGTCCCACACTGTTTTATTATTGCTTCTCCTTCATCTTTTCTAGCCTGTGACCATTTCTCAATATTTTGTTGTTTTTTGTGAACTTGACCTTCTTTAAGAATCCACTGATCAGTTGTTTGGTAAAATGCTCCTCAATTTGGGATGGCCTGGTATTTTCTTGTCATTGGAAGAGGTCATGAATTGTTGGCAAGACACAAGATAATGTGCCCACTTTAAGAGTTTCTTCATGAACTAAATATTATGGAAGTGGGACTTTCTTGGGTAATTGTTTTTGTAACAGATATACAAACAAATATCTGTCCTCCACTCTCACTTGAATGTCACAGTGTTTCTCCCAGTTTTCAAAGGATCACATCAAATAGTTTCAACTGCTACCCTCAGTTCTAGACAGAGATGACTTCAAACCCTCTAGCTCAGAGAACAAATTACCTGTGATTGACTGGCAATAAAATCTAAAACAAAGAAATGAAAGAGAATATGCTACCTCTTTCTTAATCACAAAGCAAGGTGTGAAAGTGAATTAAGTGATGTGCCTTCTCAGCAGAACTGGGTCACACATAGTTGACCAAAAGGAGCACTCATCAGGAGCATGTGGGATCTTTTCATGGCTGTTAACCTTGACATTTCAAACACACATTTCTATTCAGCTGGCATAGTGCTCAACTTCTCACCTTCCTAACTCTTCTTCCTCTTCTCTCTCAATTTTTATTAATAAAATACCTGCTAAATTGAGGCAGTAGGAATTACGATGTAGAGAAATATGGCTCTAAGTGTTGGACTTGTTCTCTAATTTTCATAGCTATGTCTCTTAAACTGATAATACCATTGGGGAATTAGGACTGCAGTGAGCCCTGGGTTCTAAATTGCAGCTCTACCTCTCCGAGTAGTGTAGCCTCAGGCCCCACCTATAGCTTTGTGCTATAGATCTATATTAACACTTGCCAGTGTTTGCCCAGCTTTCTTTAGGGGACACCCAAAACTCTCCCCATGTTTAGGGGCCCCCATTTTGCTATAATTGGCAGGTTGTCCCTCTTGCAGTAGAAACCAACGAGACTAGATATTTCTTCCTCCTGTCCTGGCATCCAAAGCCCAGGCATATTCCCTCTGCTTGTCCCATCATATATATGTCTTGCCCAGGACTTTGAAGAACATAGAATTAAAATAAGCACCACCAAGGAAATGCCAAACAAAACCATGCTGCCTTCCGGAGGGAGAAGTATCGAGGCCTGTGAGATCACTGGTCGGAGCTGGATGGACTGGCATTGGGTTTCTCATGGGTTTTGACTTTATACAACAAGTCCATCTCCGGGAAGCCCTTCCCTGGATATCTCTCATGGCCCCCCGTGGGGCTGTGTCTCTCCAGGGCAGTCTGGTGTTTGCATCAGTCAGGAGGTCCACCTGTGGGGTTGGGAAGAACTAGACCACACCCAAAGCAGAAATGAAAGACAACATATTTGGGAATGGGTCCATGCTTAGAAATTCTCAGGGGAGACTCTGTTTTCATCCAGAACACAAACCAAAAGGTCAAGCTTGCAACACACAGAGTTGAACAGGGCTCTGAGGGAATTCTGATCTTTGTGCAGGGGGCTTATGTCCAACTCCCTGCTTCATGCTGGCCTGAGGCTATCACAGCGCTGGCCTCTTATTGCCCAGGGAGAGCAGAGGCCCGCAGGGCAGTATGTCTGCTAGCCTATTCCACCAGATTGTGGTTTCTCTTTCATTTGTAACTCAAAGAATTTTCCTTCTTTCATATGAGTTAGTCTGTTTTTGAAAGGATTTTTGTATGTTGGCCAATATTTCCATGATCTTTGCATCAAGAGGGTTTCAAGTTTTTCTGGGCCCTCATTTTCCCTAAAATTCAGGTCTCCAGATTTGAACTGGTACCCTGGCTTTGCCACTGAGATATGTGCCCTTCAACAAGTTACGTAGTCTCTTTAACCCCTAATTTCCCCCTGTGTGAAATGGAGAAGGCAGTTGGATCGCTTGAGACAGTGATAGGAAGCACCCTGTGCATAGTGCACCTTCAATAATAGGTGGTAGATGCAAAGGAGAGTCAACCCCTGAGTTTCAGAAGTGCCTGCTGATCCACTGTCCCACAGGCAGGACCCCCTGGTTCCACTGTAAACTGGCAAGTCAGAACATCTAAGGTCCCACCTCTGCTGATGGCTCTTTTTGCTGCGAGATACTGCATGTCGTTGATGTTTGCAATCCATGGTTGAAGTCCCAGTGTCATGGAAGCAGCCATGCGGTTAGAGATGTTCCTTTTGGAGAACACGTCCTCAAGGTGCTGCTTCACCTAGAAGGCAATGTTTCCACCGTAAGAGAGAACGTCAGTTTCCGCTCACCCAGGGGACAAAGTCTCCCATTCAAGAATTACTTGAAATCCCAACCTGACACGGGGAACTCCAGAGGGTGCCACACAGAGGGTAGGATGCTCAGCCCTGAGAAGAGGCTCTGGGCTCCACCCCGGGCTGCACTTGGCTCTTCCCCTCCTTCCCCTCTCCCTGCAAGCCCCTCGCCTGTCCCCACCCCATTCTTACCACAGCGTCTGATACTTTAGTGGTGTTCTAGTAACTTCTGAGAAAAGTGTGAAACATGATACAACTGCTCGATTGGAATGTCCTTGTGTGAGGATCTATTAGCATTCTAGTGAATATTTGGGGAACTTTCTGAAAAGAGGGGTCGATGCCAAGCCAGACTGTGAAGGAGACAGTTCAGCACCTCCCTCCCTGAGCCTCTTTCCTCCCAGGGAAGGCCATCCTGAACGTCCCCTCCAGTCACTCCTTCAGCAAATGTGTAGTATCCCTGGCATGCCCAGGCACACCCAGGACTGTCCAGGTGCTGTGGACAAGCCACAGAAGACCTGGCCCTGGGGGTGCAGCTGTAGAAAGAGGGGCCATGCACCCTGGGCCAGGAAGCGCGGAGGGAAGGGCACAGGGAACGTGATCAGTGCCAAGCAGACAGTGGAAGAGGATGATGGGAAGAAGAGCCACTGAGGGTCAGGTTGGGGCTTCTCCACTCTCTGTTAAACTCACTGGAGGTAAAGTGATGATGGATTGGTAACTCACTGGAGGTAAAGTGATGATGGATTGGTAATGATATCTTCATTAAAATGGCTGCTTCAAACTGTTGACTTCAGACATCATGGGAAAAGTGACGACTGGGCCTGAGCTTTCTGGCTGCATCCTACCATGGGCAGTTACTGCTCCATCTACAGGCAGAACCAGTCTTGCCTTTATAGCTCCCATCTAATTTTTAAAAATTTCCCATCACCACAACTCCAAATGGTTATTTATCACACAGCTATAGTTGTGTATAATTGAGGAACAAGATGTTTACCAAATAAGGCTGATGCTGGTTCTTGACATTTGTTCCAGCTCTTTCGTTAGAAAAATGATATTTCCCTGGTAACAACCGACTGCTCACTGTACTGTGGTGTGCGGGACTCAGGAACTGACAGGCAGAGTAGCAAGGGACATTTGTTACCTGTTTTTCCACCACAGACATGTTCATGTGAGGGACTAGACGGATTGAAAATTTTCCTATCACCTGGCCAGGTATAACTGTTTTAGTTCCAGGCTCATCAAACGCACCCTCGATCCCGTGAATAGAAAGACATGGGTACCGCCACAGATGCATTAGGATTTCCTCCTAAATGGAAATAAAAGCATCCAAGAACACTGGGTGTGTCCCAGCAGCACCTGCGTGTCCGAGACCCACTCGGTTGAGTTAATCAGCACCTAATTCAGCTATGTCCGCAGCAGCAACACAAACGGACTTCTGTCAGGACACAGGGCTCCTCTTCCTCTGTGGCCTTCCCTTGCTCACAACGCCACCCACTACCAAGGTCCTCTCTTTGCCCAGGCTCTGTAGTTAGCTGTTAATAGGCAATAAAGAGCCTGTTCAAAAATTTGATTCAATTATAAATTTCTATCTACTATCATGATAGTGGTCACTTGTGTCCCACAATCATTCAGAAGACCTCAAAGGCCTCTTCAGAGTCAGAGCCACCTTCCTCTCCAGCTGTGGCACCACAGACTTAGTCTGGAGGAAGAGATACACTTCATACCAATGAATGCTCCCACTTTTTTCCAGCATGTTTTTGCCCTCTTGGTACTTTCCCCAGGAATCAGCCATAGCTACCAAACACCTTAGTAAGTATTTTAAAGAGAAAGAGAGGAGAAGGAGAAAACAAACCAAAACAACAAAAAACTAAACTAAGTCGGCCAGTTACCACGGCTGGGGGTCCGGGTTTCCCAAGGGCACAGAGGAAGCAGTGTTGCCCTGCAGATCAGTCCCTGCGGCTTCGGGGTAGGGCTGGCAGGATGCATGTTAGCCTTAGAGCTGGAGCAGACTCAGGTTCTTCCCAATCTCAGCAGCCCGGCTGCAGGCTGGCTTGGATTTAAGTTAGTAAACTACCTTGGAAAAGCATGTGTAGTTAGTCCTTGTTCATGGTTGGGTGCCTGAAGCCAATGCCTACTGGATCCCAGAAACAGGACTGGTTGGTCTAGAGCATAGGAAAGAGCTGTGAAAGTCCAGATCTGCCTAGGAACCAGCATCACTAGGTTCTAATATATGCAGATTAGCACCCTTTGGTGCTAATTACACAGTGGGAAATGTGGCTTATTGCCATACCTTGGTATCAAACAGAAATTTCTCGACCTGGCTGTTATTCTGGTATTCTCCTAGGTCCATTTCAATGGCTTCATATAGTTTTTTTTCCTCCTCTGTAAGAGGAGCCACTTGGTCATAGATTCCAGGGATCAGGATATGACCTGAGGAATCCACCAGGCTTCCTACAAAATGCACAGAGAAAACAAAGCAGGTAGAAATGATGACTGTGCTGATGTTGTGCCACTGGAGTGAACCAGGCAACAGCTCTCCTGGGTGGCAGCTGGCCTCCTGACTGTCCCCGATCCACTTAGCCAAAGCCACTGGCAGCGATTATACTCAAGAGGTAATGGTCAGAGGAAAAAGCTGATCATCAGGTGGACTCAGCCAGAGTCAAGCGTGCTATTATGTCCATCTGATCAAATGCAGGGCTGGAATCATGGGTCTGCAATAGATTAAATCAGATGAGGCTCACCTGTGTCAAGTGCAAGTTCTCAACTATATTGTTTGTATCATAAACAAGGTTAATTTTCAAATTCTGTTATCCTGAGTTCAAAAGTAATGTGTTCATTTAAAATATTTTAAAATATATATACATATGTATATATGTACATATATATGCATAAATATGAAAAACTGAAAATTTCTATCATCCCTTCTCAACTCTCTCCCTACACCCCCATAAATTATATAATACTTCTTTTTAATCAAAAGCATAATATCCTTGAAGTCTACTCCATGACGAATACAAAATACTTTATTCTAAATAAGTATATACACTAAACTGCTCTCTATTAAAAAGTTTGGTGGGGGCACTGGGGTTGTGGCTCAGTGGTAGAGCACTTGCCTAGCTTGTGTGAGGCACCGGGTTCAATCCTCAACACCATATAAAAAAAAATTAAATAAACAAAATAAAGGTATTATATCCATCTACAACTAAAAATATTTTTAAAAAAGTTTGGGGATCAATTAGAATAAAAAACCATCAACAAATATCTATGAAGGAAGCACATGCTGAGATTTAGTAAATATTGCTCACTGTCTGGAGAAAACACCTATCAAAGATAATATTCAACCAGGAAATAGATTGATATAGATAATACAAAAATGTCTCGGGGCAGCTACATTCACCCTCAATTCATCTAGGGACTTTTATTCAAGTAAAGGCACTTCACAAATGACACATTTCATATTCTCACTGTGATTCCAAGACCATGTTGGGGGAGGAACATGACAGAGAAAACTACGTTTTAAGATCTTAGCTCAGGTGAGCAGTCACAAACTCATCTTCAGCCCCTGAGCCACCTGTGCATGGACACCTAGTTACTGGTCAAGGCTAGGACGTGCGGAAACACAAGACCCTGCCTTCCGTCAATGAGGCACCGTCTCTGACCACAGAGGAACCTCATGAACCACATGAGCAGATAGGTGGCCAGGGTTCTGGGCTCTGTGTCGACACAGAAAAGCCAGGAGAATGCGTGCCGGAATCCACAGGCAGGGGTTGTGTGAGCAGTGGGCTTCCCGGCACCTTGAGAATGTCACAGGATGCTCAGCCTGAGGATTGAGTCTCCAAGGCAGCAGAATGGGAAGGGAAGGAATTCCACCATTTCCACCAACCCCTCCTTGCCCCTCTCCTGGTCCCACTGCGCATCCCCAGACTTATGTTCCCTCTGTGACCGCGCTACAGGATGTGCGGCAGGCCACTCTGCTGTGAGTCCTGTGTTACAGCACCCCTGCTGACCCAGTGGACGCACTGTATATCGAGTAAGGCATCCCAACCCCTTAGTGAGACTCAAGTCTAAAGAAGTTAGGTGCCGAGGGCCTGGGACTGGCTGCTAAGGCTTTGCTGCCTACCTTCTCTCTTTGTCACCAATACCATCAAAACACCACCAATAATGCAATCACCAGTCTTCCCTAGGCCATTTCTGCCTCCTGTGTCCTAGGTCAGGGCAGAGCTGTGGAAAGGCCTAAGACACAGACCCTGCCCACGGTCCAGCCTGGAGACCCAGGCCCAGGGTTCATGGGGTCAAGGAGGGGAGCTCTGAAGGGGAATGTTTTAGTCACCTTTTTCGCTGATGTGACTAAAAGTTTCAACCAAAACAACTTTAGAGGAGGAAAAGTTTATTTAGGGGCTCACAGTTTCAGAGGTCTCAGTCCATAGAAGGTGTCTCCATTCCTCAGGCTCAAGGTGAGGCTGTGCATCAGTGCAGAAGAGTGTGGCAGAGGGAAGCGACTCACGTGATGGTCAGAGCAGAGAGAGGTCTCCACTTGCCAGATACAAATAGACACCCCAGCCACAGCCCAAAGCCCCACCTCCTCAGCTCACCTGCCTCAGGTACCCCTCAGTTAATCCATCAGGGACTGATTCACTGATTAGGTCAAGACTCTCACAACCCAATCATTCCTCCTCTGAACCTTCTTGCATTGTCTCACATGGGAGCTTTTGGGGGACACCTCACATGCAAACCATAACAGGGAATGACCTACACAGGAGCACCGGGGTCACCAGGAGGCCAATGAGGCCACATGGCTGTCAGCTAAACCTGGAAGGATGAGTGGACACCAAGGGCATAGTCCCTGTAGCCAAAAACGACACAGAACCTGGCAGTGTTTTGACAAGAGTGCCCCCAGGAGCCAGGATGCTCATGTTCACACTATGAACCTGAACGGTGACGTCTGCCCTGACACTGCAGCTGGTGCTGCCCAACTCTGCCAGTTGTGAGGGTGGCAGCCATGTCCTCAGTGTGGGATCTGCACAGGACCATCTTTCCCAACAAGTGGTCAGCAGCTTCACTTTAAATCATGATTCCCTTTTCTCAGGATGCAGCACAGCCCTTCTCCAACTACCAGCTTGGGAACGGTGCCTGTGGACATATAGCATTTCCTCATTTTCCTTTCCCTCTAATTCACTTGCAGAGAAATCTGACTAGGGAGAGCTGTGAGGTGCTGCTGGGTCCTTTTCTCCTTTGGTGACTGGGAAACAAGGAAAGGTTAATGTCCGTGCTCGGCAGAAATCATTCTGCCCCTGCTAGTTCTCACCCAGCGCTTTCACACCAAGTGTGTTGGCTCGATCAAGAGTTGACCCCTCCCCTCCTGCTCACTTTGCACTGATGGGGACTGATGGAGTCTCTGCAGCTACCTCCACCAATGGGGGTGGAAATTCTCAGGAGGTCGACCATGCTGCCCTGAAAACTGCCCACAGGAAACAGTCTTGATGCCCAGGAGTGCCTCACAGTGCCAGAAGCCCCTCCTGGGCTTCCAGAGAATCCACCATGGGCAGCCCTGATGCAGGGAAGAGCCACCACGGGATCAAGCCTGAACAGATTGGCTTCCTGAGAAAAACCTTCTGCTTACACATATCAGTCTGCCCACAAAAGACGGGCAGCAGTGGTCCATGCTGGGTGCTGCCAGCCGACATACTGGCATCCCTGTGCCAGTCGGGGCCACAGCAACCTTGGAAAATGAAGCTGAGCAGGTTGGCCTGCTTGGCATCATCTCTAGGGTCCTTGGGAAGGTCAGAGCTGCTCCCTCAGGCTGGCAGATCAGTAGTCTCCTGCAGACATCCCGTTCCGGCCACCACAGGAAGTGATCTCGGGGAATCTCTTCCCTCAAAACACACTTACTAGGCAAGTCCATGATCATGCTTGTTGGCAGGTGAGTAAACCAAAACCTCGACAACTCAAGTAGCTTGCCAACGTCACGGAACTGGTCTGTGGCAGAGCAGGCACACAACTAGTCACAACCGTCCAGAACCCACCTGCTTGATGCGTGGCCCCCTGGGCCGGGGTGGGCTGCCATAGCCCCACCTGTGGTGCGACACAAGAGGCCGCTGGGAGAGTGTCAAGGGCCTCACCTGTGAGATGGCTCTCCCTTTGGTCATCATTTTGTTGATTCATCTGCAGTCAAAAAGTCATGCCTGCTCTGCTGAGGTGGAACCTGGGGTGCTGCTGGCTTGGGACCGCCGCCCCCTCCCACCCCATGTGTGGGAAGCCTCAGTGGGAGTCAGAGCTGGTCTCGGTCTCCTGATCCTTGTGGTCTCTGCACTGTTTTCCTTACATGTGGCTGGATGTGTCATAATGCCCAATAAAGGAAAGGAGTTTGATCCATGAGAAGAAATGGCATGGTCTTGATCTGTGCCTGGGGAATACGCGGCCGAGGGGAGAGAGCTGAGATGGCGGTGTCTCTGTGTACCACACCCACTTCAGAGCTGGTTCAGAAACTGAAGGGGAGGTGAAGAAAGTCAAAGGGAACCGAATTTGATTAGATTATTTGATGCTTAAACGGGGAAATGCAATAAGGCATTACCCAGAAGAGCCACCAAGTCAGCCATTGGCTCGTTGAGGATACCACCAAAGGTTCCGGAATGAAAATCTTGATCTCTGCATCTCACCTGGGAAATAGGTAAAAGAGAAGGATGGACTTACCTGCTGGGTCCTGCCTGGTGGAAGGCCTGCCCCAGTGGTGCCCCTCAGGACTCAGCGAGGTGACCTTCAGACCTGACCACGCTGCTTGTGCTTCTCAGTCATGTAACTTGGAGACTCTACCACTCTCTGCTTCTGCATTTCCCACTCTTTCCTGAATCCCCTGCGGCTGACTTCATTTCCCCTACTATTCCACTGACGCCAGGATCACCAGGTTCTCCTCGGCCAAATCGTTGATGTTCTACAGCTGACTTCTTTTTGGCTTCAGCCCACACTGTCAATCACCTCTGAAGAATCCCCCTCCCTTGGTTTCTGAGGAACTTTCTTCTCTTTAGTCCCTTCCTGCCTGTAGGCGATTCTCTTGCTGTCTCTTCCAATAATTCCTGTTGTTCCTCCCACCTCTATAGATCCACCCTTGACTGCTTCTTCCTCTGTACCTGGAGGTCTCCCAGATATCATCTCCTGTCTCCATCTTTTCCATACTCCTTGCTGGAGGTCTGACTTTTATCTAAGCCCGGACCTGAAAGTTTTGGTTGCTTACAGTGCATTCCACTTGAGTGGGACACTGCTTCTAGTTTCTAAAGTTCGGTAGATTTAGAAGTGAATTCAACATCTTCTCCTACAATTACATCCTACCAGCTTGATTCCTCCTATGTACACAAACCCAATCAGCTACCAGTTGGATTTTGAAGTTGTCTCTTCATTACCTTCCCTCCTGTGCCTCCTGACCAGTTGGTCCTCTCCTGCTCCAATCCATCCCTAATGTGCTGCCAGAAGAGTCTTCCGTTTGGTCACTTTATTTTATTAGGCAGTAACACTAACTAGAGCACTTTGGAGTTTATAGTGTCATCTCCAAAACCTGAAGCTGCCTCATCCTTCCTTCTGATCCCAATTTCTCCCCCCCCCCCCTTCTCTTTCCACATTGCTTTACTACCAATGGTCTTGGTCCTCATCAGGATATTCAGTTAATTGACACTTCCAAGATTTTCCAACCTATTTATTTCCTGTCTATCTTCCCCTCTTAACCTAAATGCCACGATATATCACCTCTCTGGGCCCACACCTTGGTTTGCTTCCCTCTGCCCTCTATCACACCCACCTGGAACACCCTCACCTAGGTCAACCTTACCCTCCTGGGCCTTTTCTGGCCCTAGCTACTGAGCACAGATGTGGCAAGGTATCCAGGGACAGGTGCCACCCACCCTAACACTGCCTGGCGCTTCTTGCTCTAGTGGGTCCTCTTCCCATCCCCATGGCAACCACTTCAGACTGTCACTTCTCTGCAGGTGCACTTGCTTCCTACTCAGCAGGGGAAAAAATGGAGACCAACAACAACAAAAAAGACATTGCATAACTTTTCTCCTGCTGTATCAATCTACACAAGTTGCTCGTCACCCCCCCCCCCCCCCCCCCCCCCGGTTATTTTGCTGCAGCCAGACTGCGGCAGTAGCTGTTCCCTGGAGTCCCATAAGTGAGCGCGGGCTTCGTCTGACTGAGCCATAGATTATCTGAAATCACGATGTAGTCCACACTGGAGAAGAACCGGTCCTTTTCTTTTTTGATAAGTTCCTCTAGGGCAACAGAACCAGCTTCTTCCATCCCTTCAAGGATGAACCTGAAATTCACAGGGAGATCCTGGGTACACAGAGAAGGAAACCACTGCATGCCCTGCCCACAGTTTAAACATCCAGGATTCATTTGTATTCAACTTGGGTTCATTGAATTCTTGTTTACATTCAACATATGAACCATTTGCCTTTCCAGCATCTCTGTTCACAGGAAGACCTTCTAACCTAAATTGTGGAGGGAAATGCTAGGTGAGGCCTAGTGAATCTCTCCAATGTGGCCTGTCCACTAATGCTCTCATATGGAATTGAGGAAGAAATTTCTAGAGAAAAAGCAGCATCCGCAGCACCGAGCTTTACTGAGCTCTGGAGGGCAGCATTTTCTTCCTCCTTCTCCCCAAAAGGAACTTTTGAAGAAAGTTCTCAATTACAAATCGCCCTCTGCCTTCACATTTCTGCATATGGCAAATGAGAACTTTTTTTTTTTTTTGAAAGATTATTAAGCCTCAGGATAATTTTTCCAGTATCTATTATTTTTCATCTATGATTTCAATCTGCCTTTTAACTTATTCAAAGGCTTTGATCTTGCAGCGAAAAGGAGCTTGAGTTTTTCTCTAGTTAATATTAGGGCACAGAACAGCTCCTTTAAAATTTTTACAACATGCCCCCTTTCCCATCCAGTTTTGATCCTTTTTCTCTGTATAATTTACAGCTTCACATCTTTGAGAGCGAGCCGCATTAAGAGAGGAGACCAGGGTCTTTTGCTAGAGCACAGCAAAGGCTGGGAGGACTGGAACAGGGACCATGTGTGGATGATCCACGCACACGTGCATGCTCCTCAGTCCTCGGGTGGACTGGCTCCTGGGGGGATCCACAAACGCAGGACTGTGTGTGAGAACATAGGTGACCTTCGTCATCCTGCTGGATAAGAGCCTTTGGGGATAATGATTTACTTAACGTGTTAATATCCCTCTGAGCATCTCAAGAAGTAGTGCTGAAGTTCTGAAATGTTCAAAGGGTCTTTATTAACACACAAGAGCACACAATCACTGAGATATAGTTGGAAATCTTGAGAATTTGCTGGCAAGTCACATTTGATAAAACATGAACCAAACCAATAGTGACTAAGTGTTGGGGGACAACTGGGCCAGCCGTCAAGTTCAGGTTAGGTCTGCTGTGTTCCTCGAGAAACTTAAGACATGTCACTTCTGGGTCACTCAGTTCTCTACCCATGAAATATGAATATTAACACCAACTCTGCCACTAGTGAGATAGCCCCAGGAGGTGTAAGGTATGTTTAAGTTCTCTGTAGGCAAGAAGAAAAGAGGCCCTCAGGAAGGGCCTGATCCTACCACAGAGCCTTTGCACATGTTTCTTTAGTTAATCTTTTCAGGACAACTGTTCCTTGTTCCCCTTGATGAGGAACATGAGGCTCAGAGAGAACAGGGACTGGTCCACAGGTAGTGAATATTTCCTGTGTTTTCTTTGTTATATTTATGTAATTTTCAGAATTGAAATTTAAAAACCAAATCAAACCTTTATATAGGGATTTTAAAATAAACATCGGCATCCAGATGGAAGGAGGGAAGGCAGGTGAGTGAGGAAAAAGAGGGTGGAGAGAAGCCACACTCACGGCTCAGGGCTGTTAAGTGGGTGCAGCGGGTAAAAAGACAGCTTTGGAGTGATCAGCAGGACCCAGCAGAAATGTTCTAATTACTGCCCTTGCCTTTCTCCGTGAGATAAAGGGGTGAGTGGTCCCCTCCCTTCTCATTGGCTTATGTCTCAGGAGAAAATAAACTCTGGCGAGAGAAGCCCTGGCGTCTGCTCTGTTGGGCCTCCTTTGGGAGAGGTGCTATCAGGGCTCTCTGCCTGGGCTCTTGGGCAGGGCTCGCTGCTCCACACGGCCTGTGTTGGCCCGCCCTGTGGGAAGGTGCCCCGAGACTGAGCCCTCCTCTGAGCTCTCCCCAGCACAGGCGAGATGGACCCACAAGGCTGAACCCCAACCTCCTCTGCTTCCGAAATGGGTACCAGTTCCCTTCCGTGCAGGAAAGGCCAGCGGGGTTTGCTCTGTGAATGGAGCCATTTTCTCTTTTGCCCATGAACCCAACAAATGGGTCCCATTTTCTTCTTAAATATTTATTTGTTGAAAGTGCTTAATGCAATCAGTAATGTAAGATGAGGGGAAGGGAGAGAGGCTGTAGATTCTTAAAGTTAGCTCCAAACCATAAAATCCTTCTGCACCAGAACAAATGCTTCATGGTCAATGGATGGAACTGGAGACCATCATGCTAAGTGAAATCTAAATCCCTGCAGGTCCCACCACCCATGAAACCAACACAGAGCCTCATCGTTGTGACCACACCACACTGAACAACAGCAATATTAGCTACTTTGGAATATTTGTGTAAAATATCAATCCCATCATTTAAAAACCACTGGCATCAGACTTCCTGTCAAAACTGCACATCCAGGAACATTCAGTAATGGGCACCCAGTGAGCTGGCTGCGGGCAGAGGAGAAGCTGGTCCAAAGAGCCCTGAGGAGCTCCTGAGTGCTGAGGCCATCTCTGCCTGTCCCGGAGGTCCTCCTGGGTGGATGAGGGTGAGGCAGCAGTCCCCAGGAGCCTGGAGCCTGCCCTTCAGCCCCAGGACCTCTGGCCAGGCCTGGAGCTCGGTATCCCCCACTGTAACACCAGGGAGCAGCTAGCAGGAGGTTTTCCTTGGGGAGAGCCTTGGGAGCTGAGGTGAGTGTCCTCCCTTTCCCATGCCATTCCTGGCCTGGAGGCCACCTCCTCTCCTCACAGGTTCCCTGAGCACAGAGCTGGCCCTGCAATAGTGGAGAGGTCCTCACTAGCAGGCGGCCACATCCCCTGAGTGGGGAGTGAAGAGGCCAGTCTCCCCGCCTCAGCTGGCACCATCCAGACAGGCCACATCTGAGTGCAGTCAAGTGGCAGCGACTCACTTCTACAGAACAGAGTTCAGGGCCCAGAGAGAGTAAGTCACCGCCCACAGCCACATGGCTGGGTTTGATCTCAGTGGGAGTCTAAGCACATTCCTTAGGAGGAAACGCTGGTTGAAGACAAAACCGTCCTGTGAGAGCATGGCATGAGACAGTTAAAGACCAAACCTAGCCAGGCACGGTGGCACATACCTGTAATCACAGTGAGACAGGAGGATCTCAAGTTCAAAGCCAGCCTCAGCAACTTAGTGAGGCCCTAAGTAACTCCCTGTCTCTAACCAAAATATTAAAAAAGGGCTTGGGATGTGGCTCAGCGGTTGAGTGTCCCTGGGTTCAATCCCTGATACCAAAACCACAAAAAAAGACACAAACCTCGACCCACCACTGATGCCCTCTAGTGGCCAGAAAGAGTGGGCTCACCCCCCAAAGCTGCTCCCTGCCTTCCTTTCCTAACCCCAATCTGAGCTGTTGGGGGCAGGATTCAGACAGAACGTCAGGTGGCAGAGATTTCTGCCTTGATCACTTACAAAATATCCAACACATTTTAAAAAATATATGTACACATCTATTAAAAAATCATACTCTATGATATGAAGGAAAATAAGGTTAAAAAAAAGACAGAGTTTAGAAAAGGACAATTCACAGCTTCACAGCAGATAGTAATGTGGCCACAGGCTGGTCACGGTTTCTGTTGTTTCTAATGTGGTTGACAGGCAGCTGGAACCCATGCTCAGAGCACGTCACTGCACCAGCTGGGCCTCTCCGAGTAAGTTCCCTAAGTTCTCAAGCCTTCCTCCTCCCATCTGTAGAAGGGTGTAACAGTAGTGCCCACCCCCTAAGATGCTGGGGGAAGTATGTCACACACTGAAGCTCAGGAGGGACACAGTGGGCATCACCACCCTCTTCTCCCCGGTCCGCGCAGCTGGCCACCTACTTGCTCTAGGTCTCTGAAGGCGCTCACAGCATGAATCCAAGCTAGGTCGGGGCCTTTGTTGTCTACTGATCCTCGTCCATACAGTTTCCCTTTTAAAATGGGAGAAAAAGAATTAAAAATGATGCATGGACACCTCTGCTAAGCTGAGTGAGTTAAAAACCAATGTGATTTCATGGGTCATGATTTTAACAATACTTTCTAATATTCCAGGCACAAATCTTCCTCTGAAATTGCAAGGTGTGATTTCTTATGTACAATACGGTCAACAGCTAGTCCGGTGGAATAGGCTAGTTTTAAATAAATGGATTCCACTGGCCCCAGCAGTAAGTTTGTTAAGGAAGCCAAGGTTGCTGCAGAGCAGCACATGATGTGGCCATGTGCTCTGGGAATTTACAACTGATAGGATAATGGGAAAAAGTATGTATGTCTCTAGCAGTCTTTCTTCTTTTCTGTATAAAATACAAGTTATACTTGTTATTTTTACTCAGCCATAAAGAAGACTGAAATCATGGCATTTGCTGGTCAATGGGTGGAACTGGAGACCATCAGGCTAAGTGAAATAAGCCAGCCTCAGAAAGTCAAGGGTCAATGTTTTCTCTCATATGCAGAAACTAGAGCAAAATAAGGGGAAAGAGGGAGCTGGATATCATAAAAATAAAGGGACGATCAGTGGAGTAGAAGGATGAGATAGAGAGGGAGGAGGGATGGGAAAGGGGAGGAAATGCAGATGAATCTGACACCATCACACTATGTGCATGTGTAAATATACCAGTTAATTCCATGTGCATGTTTGTCTATAAGTACCCGTCAAAAATAAATAAACCAGTGAAAAGACGACCAGCAGAGGAATGAGAATGGGGGAGACAGAAGGGGAGGGAAGGGGGAACCAGGAACTGAAATGGAGTAAGTTAAATTCCATGCATGTATGATTTTGTCAAACTGAGCTCTGCTACGATGTATAATTATACTGTACTAATGAAAGGAAACAGTTCAATTTACAAAAAGGATAGGGAAGCCGGGTGTGGTGGTGCACGCCTGTAACCCCAGGAGCTAGGTAGGCTGAGGCAGGAGGATCCCAAGCTCAGAACCAGCCTCAGCAACTTAGTGAGGCCCTAAGCAACTTAGCAAGACCCCATCTCAAAAATAAAAAATTAAAAGGGCTGGGCTGGGTGGTTGAGCACCTCTGGGTTCAATCCCCGTACTAAAAAAAAAAAAAAAAAGGAAAGTTGTCTCCTAGATAAATGTCTTCCTCGCACCCAAGGGCCCTATGCAGGGACACAGAACTTCTTAGTTTCTTTCACAAATGAAAGAAAATCAGCCCCAATGAACCAACTATGGAACCCAGCGCCTTGTGCATGCTGGGCAAATGCTCCTGCATGGAGCTACACCCTAGGCTTCTGTTCACCCTTCTATTAGTAGTTGCTGTTTTGAGTGCTGGGGATTGAACCCAGGGCCTCCTATGTGTTAGGCAAGTGCTCTCCCCCTGAGCTATATCCTTGGCCTCTTCAATTCACCCTTCATGACACTGAAAGACCTGGAGCCTGGGGAAAGAGTCACACTTTAAATCCTTAACCCCTGTGAGCAAGCTCTATCCACAGATGAGCAGGGTGCTGAGGAGTCAGCATGTCACTGACCGTCCACCTCTGTCAGTGTGTAGGGGTCCGTGAGCCACCCCTCGCTCTCCTGAGCCGGCTGCACATCCAGGTGCCCATACAAGCACACGGTGGGTTTCTTCGGATCATTCCCCAGTTCAGCCAGGATGATAGGAGGGATGGGAAGACTCTGGTCATCAGGCAGCTGCAGGAAGATGATGGATCACATGGTTTAAAAACCTCCATGGTCCTTCCAGAAGACTCAGAACATGACATTAGGAATCTGTTCGTTCTGTCCCTGGGTTGCTGAAGGGCCTGTGTCATTTTTCTGAGCCTCACTGTCTCCATCTCTAAAATGGGTCCCATTAGACACTTTTAATAAAAATATAAATCATAATTAAAAGCCAAGAACTTCCTTAGGTACACACTGACAAACAGTATAGTTAGTAGGATGCATTCTTCAATAAGAACTTAGAACACAACTGGCTTAAAGTAGAATCCTGGAAAATTTGGAGAATTCTGAAGTTCTTCATGCTGAGCAGGTGGCACTGGGTGCTTAGATTTAGGATTGCCATTAGGAGTTGTGTGGCTTTGGGCTTAGGGCTGCCATTGGGGATAAGTGGCATCAAGCTTAGGGTTGTCATTGAAATGGGTGACATCAGGCTTAAGGTTGTCATAGGAATGGATGGCTTTGGGCTTAGGGTCACCATCAGGGTTGAAATGGCAGTTTTAAGCAATGATTTTGAAGAAAGAATGCAGTTCTTAGAGACCCTTGGAGAATGACCCTTGGAGAAAGTTGCATATGAATTTAAGGGAAAGGACAAGTGAGTTGAGATATGACACTCAGGTGCGGGTTGGGGCCTTTCCATAACACTGTTACCTTCACTCACCTCCTCCATTTGCTTTCAGCCTCATCCCCCACCCCAGCCCCAGGCCTGCTCTGGAAGGTGCTTCCTCCTTCCTGGGAATCAGCACTCTGAGGGTTGGGGTGAGGAGCAGGGTAAGCCCCTCTCTTGCCAAAGAAGGCAAGGTCGGTGGCCACAGAAGTGGTTCCTTCACTGGAGGGCAACCCGCCCGCCGGCACCTGCTGAGAGCCCAGGTCCCTGGATTCCACGCTTGTCTGCAGCCATGGCCATCATCCGGAAGAGCTCTTGTCTGAAATGAAGCACTGGTTGGATGGAATCGCTCTCCACCGCCACCCACTCCTTCAGCGTCTGTGAGGAAAGTCAGGGAGGGCATTAGCATGGGGGGATCCCATATTCCCTTGGGGGGAAGCGATTCAGGGGCAGGGACTGACTAGTCCCCGGCTCTTCTGTGTCGACGTCCTGTGCACTGTGACACTCAGAGGCAACTGACAGACACACTCGGGTTTAATCAAGACCCAGAGGCCAGAGGCGCTGGTTAGGACAGAGCACGAGGGGGCACAGTGGAGGTCCAGCGTGGGAGGCAGTGCGGCCGGGTCCACCTCCGCCTGTGCCAGTCTCGGGGCTCTGACAACCCTTCTTTCAGGCTCAGTTTTCTCATCTGTCCTATAGAATGATGCTCCCTAACCATGAGAAACGATAGCCACGAGCTGTCACACTGCGAGAGGACCAGCGTGTCCCTGGCACTTACCAGCTGCCCTATTCAGTAAGCACCAGCTAATATGGAGCCATTAGTGCAGACCGCTCACATTCCGTGCTGGAACCCAACCCGCTTATCCTGGGACAGGATTGTTTTATGGAAAGCTACACATATTTTGACTGGTTGATCTTGACTCCACTTAATCTTGACTCTACTTCCTAATTTATTTTAGTTTGATCCCTCTTTCCTAGAGGGTGCACTTTCACTTTTATTTTAAGGGAACTTATTTAAGGAAAACTGTGTTCTGTATTTCTCACCTGCAACCTCAGCAGGTGCTGTGGGGTTCTCCACCCTGAGTGGGCCTCAGTGTGTTTGTTGGAAGAGGCCAGGACGAAATGTGGCCAAAAGCCCAAATCAGCCTCCAGCCCTGTTAATTTCAACCTACTCTGGAAACCCCGCTGGGGTTCTGAAGATCCGAGCAGGCTTTCTGCAGGTTTATATTCCTGTAGAAAGAAGGATTATGCGAAGGTCGAGCTCAGGAAGAGGGGTCTGGACATTCAGTTTCGTGCCATTAGCATGAAACAGGAAGGTTTCACGTCTGTTTGCATGATAGTGTTCCCCGGTTTGGCTGATCCAATGAACGCCTATCATGTATGTGCCAGACACAGGGTGGGGGACCCCCGGCTGGTGAGCACAACAACAACACTCATTTGGGGAGGCCTGTGGTCACATGGCCAGATGCCCAGGGAGGGCACAGGAGGCAGAGTAGAAGGAAGGGAGAGGGAAGCAACCCAGTGAGAGGGTGGGCACCGCAGGTGCCTGCACCTTGTCACCCACTCGTCCCTCCCTCTTCTGCTCCCTGGCCCCCTCTCTCCCTTCCTCCTCATCCTCCTTCCTCCCCTTCTCCATATGCCTGTGCCACGTGCCCACAGGTGTGATAAGAGAGGAGACCAAGTGCTCCCTGGACTGTACCACAGACAATGCTGACAGCAACTGTCCAGGGCTCTCTGGACCCCAGCTCCATCTGGACCTCGCCAGGGGCCTCGTGGCACTGCTAGTGGGCCACCTGAGGGGCCAAAGCAAGAGAGAGTCCCACAGAGTTGCTGGTCATCTCTACAGGGGCAGCTGAAATGAATGCACCAGGGATGGACAGAGTGCCCTTTCCAGGAGCAGTGGCCAGGAGGGAGCTCTTCCGCAGACCTGATGGACCATGGTTATCTTAATTCAACCCAGGGTCACAGGCATTTTCAATGGAGCCAAGTTGTTGGCACAAAAGGTCCCAGAGGGCGTGACTGATGCACCGAAGCACAGCTTCTCCTACCTGCACAAATTCGTCCTGGTGGAGGTCGATGTGCTGGCAGAGCTCCCCCAGCAGCCCGGAGGGTGGAGGGGGAACATGCCGCCCCCCAGCAGCAGCAGCAGCAGCAGCGCCAGGAGACAGGAAGCCTGTTAAAGTTGATGGGCACATTCAAAATACGTGCTGCTTCTGGGCTTTTGACCTTTCCAAAGCTCTGGGAAGGCTGTTATCCAACCCTGGATTACCACCCACGTCAGCTGGAGCGTAATAGTCAGAGGTGGTGGATCTTGAAACGCACTTTCTCCTGCATCTTTCTCAGATACTGCATTTCCAAAGCTCAAGGATTTTAATAAGACAGAAACCAAGCTCATGAGCTGGTCTGCAAAGCATGTGACTCGGGTTATTCCTGTGACAGGATGGTTCTGTGCCTCTGCTCCCTGCGCAGGAAGACCAGCGCTCTGCATCCTGCGTGAGGGGCAGAGGCAGAAAGACGTGGGAGGTACAGACAGAATCAACAGCAGCCCTCAGAAGCCCTCTGTGATGAACCACTTAGGAATGCCTACAGTCCCGCAGTGCTGTGGGGTTTCTTCCCACCAGCTCCAGCAACTGGAGTGCTCTAGAAGGAAAGAAAGCAAACGAAACTCATATACCTGCCTGTGATTGATGACATTAAGGACAGCCCTGGCCTGGGTCATGGGCTCTGTCTTTCTGACTCCCTGCCCCCTTCTCTCCATTGCCTCCAAATGAGGGACCTGCCATGAGCCTGGTCTTCCCTCAGGGCCCTCCTCCCTTCTCCCAAGACAGGCTCCAGGTGGTACACGTGGCCTTACCTGGCTGCACCGGTGGGATGACTCCACCTGTTCATGCAGTGGTACTCAGGGGAGGCAGTTCTCCCCGGCCCTGCGTGTTCCCTGGCCAAGTGAGCAGAGTGCGCCCCAGGCAGTGGGACCCCCAGAGCCCTGCGCAGCCCACGGGAGCTGCCAGCAAAAGTCCCAGGAGCTCGATGCGCACCTGGAGGAGGGAGGCCGGCAACTTCTCCGCTTGGTGGAGCTGCAGCCACCTGGGGGAAGGTCTCCAGGTGGTTTCCAGGATTCCCCTGCCTGGGTCCTTCCTCCCTCTCTCTCACTCACCTCCACCCATGGGAAGGTAGACACCTAAAAAATCATACATTAAAAACATCATGACTGTATAATCTAAAATAGCTCACTTAAAAATGATAAAAGATGGAGTTTCAGGGTCTAAAATAATAAGGCAGACCTTGTGTTAATCTGTCCCCTTTTTTCCTACAACAACACAAAAAGGGTGGGTCTGTCTCCTAAATCAGAGTCTAGCTGGTCACCAGGGGACAGCCAGCGTCATACCCAGAACCTTGGTGGACTGGGGGATTACAGACTCACAACGTGCCAGACCTTCCTGTTCTGACTGATGATTACCTGAAGGCATCGTGGACTCATCACCTGGTTGTAAAGAGCCCATTCAGGGCTGAGTCCTCTGAACACAGAGGCATAGTCCTGGTGAGGTACCAAGACTGCCCACAGGCTGCCTCTGCTCAGCCGGCCAGGACCAGAGGCCAATGCTCAGAGTGAGGTGGAGCAGAGAACACCAATCCACGATGCGAAGACCTCCAGGTTCAGAGAAAAATCAGTGTCTTCTCCAAACCAATTCTCCCTTCTGGGTTTTCATGTAGTTTTTAATAGATTTTATTTTTAAAGATTAAGGTTCCCATAAAATTGAGTAAAAAGTCCAGGGATGTCCCACTTTTACCCTACCACAAACACACAGCCTCCCCCATTATCAATGTGCCACACGGGCACATCACTCTAACACAACGTCCGCAGATGACATTCGGGTTCCCTCTGGGTACTGTGCATGCTACACTGTTGTACACAAGCACAGTGACACTCGTTTGCCATGTCACTATCTGGCAGAGCCTATGTGCTCTGCTTATGGGTCCCACCCCGCCCACCCTAGCAACCTCTGGTCTGCGGGCTGTCTCCATGCTGTGCCGCTCCCCAGGTCACGGGGCTGGAATCCCACGCACGCTGACTGTCAGACTGCCTTCGTTCACGTCAGGCTGAACACTGAAGTTGCTTCCATGTCTCTCCATGGCTTGACAGCTCATTTCTTTTTAATGATGCACACCATTCCATTGTCTGCAAGTAGATTTTTGTGCCCCTCTGTTGTGCAGGAAAAGCATGGACCCTGGAGCCAGCAGCTCCAAGATCTTGCAGTCTTGTCTGTCTCTAGTGCTATGCTGACATATGCCCCTGGAGTGACACCTGTGGCATGCACTGCAGGACAGTTGAGATTTTGGGTCTAAGTGTCCGGCACACAGTAGACCCAAATCCTTTTGTATTCCCCTTTCCCAAGTTAATTTTTTTCTAAAAAAAATAAAAATAAAAATATCATCATCATGTTTCTCTTTAGACTAAAAGAGAAAAGCAAGTCTGTGGAGCTCAATCGATGGCTGCCTAAAACATAAGGCTAGACAAACTGGTGTGGCATCTGAGGCCAACTCGACACTCTGCACTTAGCACCAGACATGTGCACATGCTCCCAGGGGGACCACGGGGATACAGAGAGGGGGAAGATGCTGGACACGGACTCTCTCACGGAGCCAACAGTTGCTAGCAGACTCACCACTCTACAGGGGACAGGAGAGCATGAGCATGCAGGGGATTAGAGAGCCGAAGGTGTCCCATCCCTGTGAGCACATGCATGGGCCTGGGGCACCAGGAGAGTCCGAGGCAGCCCTAACGTCTGGTCCACTCATGACCAAAGCCGTTTGTTTGGGCCTGAGTTCTGTGTCCTACAGAGATCAAAGGTCTGTGAGATGCAGGGCTTCTCTTGGGTCCTGGCCTGATGCTCTGGGCCTGAAAACATCACAGGGTCCAGCATGAGGTACGTCTGAGAGTCCCTGGGAACAGAAAGGAAGGAACTGTCCTACATTGTCCTGGCCAAGAGGGGTCATCGTGCCCACTTTCAGAGGCTGCCCGGCAGGTTACCTACCTTAGGACGGAGCATCAGCAAGTCTGTTTGACAGACAGGAGGTGAACATTTCACGCTCCCTGTACCGACTCAGAGAGCCTCCACTCACTCTCAACACAGCAGCCAGATGTCTTTAGAAGGTGGGTTAGATCCTGTCACTGCTTGTTTTAAACTCTCTCGAGAACTTGGGGAAAACCCAGCTGCTCACCTGGCCTCCCTGGGCTGACACGGTGGGGTCCGCCTGCCTCTGCAGGCACAGTGCCGGTGCTGGAGGGCACCAGGTGTGGGTCTCTTCATCACTTGCTCCTGCTCCCCAAACACCACTGGCCACAGCCAACTCCACTCCTGCACTGTCCTTTGACCTCTGGGCCCCAACCAAGCAAAGGTGAGAATCAGAACTGACTGACTTTCTCATCAGTCCAAAGAGAACTGCACACAGCATGCGTGTCCTTATGCAAGAGAGGGTGCACCTTTCCAGCCAAAACGTCCCTTAGCACAGGATGAAACATCACCAGCCAAAAGTAGCACAGCTCCCAGGTGACATGCCTCCTATCAGGTGGACACTGCAACGAGGGAGGGGTGTTTTCAGAAACTCTCTGGATAGGATTCAGCTCACATAAAGTCTGAGAGACCACAGAGAATCCCGTGTTCACAAAACAAGAAGGCTGAGAGAGAGAGCAACTTTGAGTAAGGGGGCGTAGATAAGAGGCAATGAATTAAATAGAATTGAAGATCTGAAAATAAAGTCTCATATTTATGATCAATTGATTTTCAACAAGGGTGCCAAGATAAGTCAATGGGGAAAGAAGGGACGACCCAAATGTCCCTCAGCAGACAAATGGACCAAATGTGGATCGTCCATGTAATGAGATATTATTGGGCATCCAGTGGGATGAAGGGCTTGGCATGAAAAGGAATGAAGTTCTGACACTTGCTACAACGTGGATGGGCCTTGGACACATTGTGCCGAGTGAAATAAGCCAGGGCTAACTATTGTGTGATCCCCTTATGCAGGAGACGGTGTACCAGAAGAGTAAATCCCTAGACAGAAAGTAGATCATTGGTTACCTGGGGGCAGGGTGGGGTGGGGTGGGCTTGGGGAGTGACTGATAATTAGTAAGGAGTTTCTTTTTGGTTGATAAGAATATTTCCAAACTGTGGTGATGGTTGTACAGCTCTGAATGCACTAAAACCCATTAAAATGCTTACTTTATATGAGTGAAGTGCATCGTATATGAATTCCATCATAATACAGGCAAAAAAAAATCATAATCACAAATACAACCACTCATTTGACAATAGAAATATAATGTTATGAGGGATGCATATAAGGTAGTTGAATAGTGGCTGTCATGTATAACTAATTAGAACAAACAAAAAATAAATTAAAAAAATGATAGCCCATCAGAGGGGAAAAGTTCACAGTGAGGTTGGGCTGTTCACGAGTGGATTAAGGACACAGACCACTAGATGGCGCTGATGAGCCGTTCCCCTCCCGGTTTCCCTGAGCTTCTGGGACCCAGCCAAGAGCCAGATGGCAAAGAAGTCAGGTGGGAAGGACACCTAGAAACCTTAGTGGCAGGAAAGGGAGCTCAGGGCACGGAGGGATCTTCCAAGCAGACTCTGAGATGGTGTAGGCTGTTTTAACTTTTATTTTTCATTCAATTTCCATCAAAACATTTACTTGTTGCTTCTCTCCAAAGAAAGATGAAAAGAGAAACAAGAAAAAGGAAAAGAAGCCCAGGAAAAGAATGAAAACAGCATTTATACACAGACTGAGAATGTTTCCAATTTCAGTGGGCGCTGCCTCCTGGGCGGGGGAGAGGTCTTGCTCCTGACAGCAGAGCTCATGCCCTACATTCCCACATCCTTCTCCGTTTCTCTCCCTTTCCCCACAGGTACCAACCAAGGTGACAGAGCAGTCTGCATTGGTCCGCCAGCCCCCGAGGTCAACGCTGGCCATGAATGTGGCCTTCACCATCTCTGGGTGGGATTTCTGGCTCTGCCCACTTGTTCTCCTCTTGCTCTTTACTTTCTGTTTGTTTTCTGTGTGACAGTCATGCTTGATCTTGAACTAGTCATCCACTGAAAATCTGGAGATTTAGAAGGGTCACTCTGGTTTTTGCCTTTGCAGGAAGAAGAAAAAGGAGCTGGGGACAGAAAGGTGACATGAAAGACTGGAATTGGAGACTGGGCAGAGAGAGGTCTGATCTCAGTGTTTCCTTAACTACATGATCCCACAGGCTCCTCTTTATTCCTGCCGGTTGCTTAGATTTGAAACAAAGTTCTAAGTGTCCCCGTGCAAAGACATTTTTAACTCTTCAGAGGAGGGCCACATCCTGGCCATGTCCACCCTGCCTGCCCTTCCCCAGAGTAAGGGCGTGGGGAGAGCACCCCCAGTTTTCTTGGCCTTTCGACATCTGCTCTTCCTCTCTCCTCCACTTGCCAGGCTTCTCGCCTGCCTGATGCATCCCTCTGTTGTGGATGGCCCTCCATGTCTGTCTCCTGCCACAAAACACCAGCCAAAAGCAAGCTGGGCGAGGGGTGCTGGGAAAAACCCATACTGCGCTGACGCTGAACAGTGGGAAAGGAAAGCCCGGCCGTCCCCAGCCCCGCGGTCTCCAGCAAGGACGGACGGCCTGCAGCCCAGGAGCACACTTCAGTGCTGGGGACAACGTGGACACCAAGAACTCTGTTTGCCAAGTCCTCTAGTCCTCATGCTCTCACTTGACAGAGTGCCGTTTCTGCCTTGATGAGCTTTGTATAACAGAAAAATGTGGTTTTTAGCTGAGTTTGTCTCCTCAGCACAGGATTTAAAACAATGACAGAAACAGGCTCTTCTGGATTCTTTCATCCTGCAAGCAGAGCCGAGCCTGGGATTCCTGCCGATAAGCAATGCAGCAAGTCCAGAAGGAGGCAGTTAGGGCAGGTCCCCTCAAAGGGCAGCCAAGAGTAGTGCCAGAGGGAAGGAGCAGCTAGTAAGAGCAAAGTTCTCCAGACAGTTCCGAGAACCACGGTCTCTGCACCACTCTCAAGTGGGATCTGGCCAGCAAATGCAATGCCAGAGGGCCTTTGGCTGAGGCCAGGTTTGGTTTAAACTCATTTCTGAACTGAACACAAGTCCCACACACCTCCCTGCGTTCGGATGTTTGGGTGTGCCAGCAAAGGATATCACCTGGCTAGGACCTAGCCGGCCACTAGGCATTCAGGAAGACGTTCTCCAGAAGCCTTGGAGGGGAACCTGAGCCAGGCACGGGTCTCTCCGGGTTCTTCAGCTGGTGTGGACCTTAGCTGTAGCACTTATTGACTGGCTGGCTCAGGCTGGCAACAGGCTCCGACTCAGACAACAGTGTTTGCCACGCACTGTGGGGGTTCCAGGAGAGGGCGCATGAACGTCATCTGGCACTTCTAGCCTGAGGTCCTCTCTGGAGCATTCCATCCTAGGCAGAAGACAACTAATCTGGTTGCCCCAAGGCCCAGGTGGGCTCAGGTGGCCCCTGGCTGTGTGAGGGTGGGCCATGGGGAGGGGAAAGTTGCATTGTCATTGTGAGATGCTGGCAGCACTAACTGCAACAGTGCCACCTCCAGCCCTTTTGTCCCCTGAGGTCTCCACAGATCAGCCAGAGAGATTGCCCAGGTTGGCACCACTTCCAGAGCCTTCCAGCATCTGCAAACGTGAGGCAGCTTGGAGCACAGTGACAAATAAGGCCAGAAAAGAAAAGATGTGAGTGAAATAACCAGATTCCTATTCTTTTTAACCCCCTCTCCCATAGGAAGGAACCTATCATCAATTAAATTGATACACTGAAATATAGTACAGGAGTGACAGTATTGTCACCAGATTAAGCTGAATTGTGTAACTAAATGCAGTGGCACATGCTTATAATCCCAGCTGCTCAGGAGGCAGAGGCAGGAGGACCACAAGTTCAAGGTCAGTCTCAGCAACTTAGTGAAACCCTGATTCAAAATGAAAAATAAAAAGGAGTTGGGAATGTGGCTGAGTACTAAAGCACTCCTCGTCCCATCCCCAGTGCTGAAACAAACAAACAAAAACAGATTGTGAGATCCTCAACACCAGGAACGCTTCTGATTCTGAGCCTGGAACAGGGCATGGCTTCTGATTTTGAGGGGTGACAGGTGGAAATCCCAAGTGATTGAGGGTGGTGTGCCAACACAAACTCAAACCAGGTGAGTTGCCCCCTTGGGCTTCAGCAGCTGGGCTAGCCCTGAGCCACAGCCTGCTTCTTGTCCTTAAAGTCTTGAGAAACTGATGTGACTCCATTTTTGAAAATAAATAAATAACAGCAGCTTCTACCTCAAGGCCTGTCCTAAGGAAGGGGGCAAAACCTTTGTCCTTGGAAAAACTCACAGAGCACTCCTAAGCACATACCCACCCTGCTGAGTTGTTTGTCTGTAAAAAACAGGAGAGGTCTGTGGTGCCAGGTGTCCCTGACTCAGTTAGGCTAGGTGAGGACCCATAGCAACCCCCCTAGCAACCTCCAATCAGCATAAGACAGGGAAAATACCGGGGATGCCAGATGACCCCCCAGTAGTTTATGGTGTTGATAACGTGTTGGGAAACCATGTAGTTTAGCACGTACGCCCCTCGTGGCCTAAACCAATCAGTTCAAAGGAATCCCCCTCTTGTACTAACCAGTCACCCCTACCCAACTTGTTCCCGCCAGTGAATGTGCTAACCAATGTTAAGAGTTGTTGTTTGATTTTCCCGCGGTATGGAATGATTTGCTGTGTGATGTTGTGACACAGAGAGTATCCTCCCAAAACCTATAAAATCTCACTGAACAAAGGACCAGGACTCACTCCCTGGGACCGCTGCGTCGGGAAGAGTTGTGAGTCTAGGCTCGAGCTTGCAATAAAGACTCTTGTGTGATTGCATCGGATTCTGCTCCTGGAGGTCTATTGGGGTCCCATGGATCTGGCATTACAGTCTCACTGTAGTGATTTTGTGTTGAAGTGTTAAAATTCATGTAAATGCCTGCAGGGTAGACTGAGTGACCTCAGGGAGCAGCAGAGGAGACCCAGGCAGAACAGAGATGCAGGACGTGCTGGAGCCAGCGGAGGCCCAGACTCAGGCCTGATGACAAGGAAGGGGATGGAGATGTTTCCAGGAGTCAGGAGGGGGGGACCCTGAGGCAGGGTGGAGGCACCAAAATGCTGAGGTCGCTGAAGAACACCTTTCTGTTCCTAGGAAACTGTAATTACCTCGACTTGCTTTAAAGTGTATCTTCTAAGCCGGTAAGCTCAAAGCAAAGTTGTCCTGACCTCAAAGCCCAGGGATTTAGCTGCCCTTGCCACCTGGGAAGCGAAGCCCAAAGGATTAGGACAGCATGAGTCAGGGCTACTCCTAGGATTTGGTCACAGGTTATTATTGGTTGTGAACCCAAGTTCAACATATGGAAGGGCAGATATTCACAGAGAGGG